GGTCGGAGGACGACTGGAAAAAGAGCGGGAGTGATAAGAACTTGGGAGGGCGTCGAGGAAGGAAAAAAAACGTACTGATAAACGAGCAGCGGTGGTTTTCTTCGGGGACTTGTAGGTAGTGATAAGTCTTGCCGGTCGCCGCAACTTTATGGGTGCGACACTTCATACGACATTCTGCAAGAGTGCGGAGCGGGTTCAGGTAATGCGCGCAAACAGGAAGGGCGTCGAGGGGAAGTTTCATGAATCCAGATGGCGCAAGATAAGTCAGGAAGTTGGTGGTGGTGTTGGAGGGGCTGGAAAGATGTAAGGCGGGAAGGCGCTCAACGAGGGCGGAGCTCACTAAAGCATCGGCGACCAGCCGGCGTCCGTCTTGTTGACGATGGTGAGAAGAGTTCGCGAGGTGTTGGATTCCGCGAGCTCTCGCTGCATGCGCGCAAGGACGTTGTGCGGCGGATCCTGGTCCTCGATGTGGGCGGCGCGAGAAGGTGGGAGGGGCTTGTGGACGGGAAGCGTGCCATTGGCGATGGCATTGTCGAGCATGGTGACCCAGGCCGCATAAGCGCGTTTTCGTGCGGAGGATTTGGAGGAGTCACCGTCGCTGATGTAGACGAAAGGCATCGCGTCGGGGAGTGGGGGGCAAGAGGAAGCGCAAGCAGGGCTCGGACGACCCCGTAAGACTTTTATAAGGCTGCCGCACGGGCCCGTGCGCCATGGGCGGGGACTGGAGCAAAATCCGAAGTCGAGGAGCGTGCCATTGGACGGAGAGAGTGGCAGGTTCGCTTTGATATTGCCAAAGTGGGCGTGTTTGAAGGTAACGCGTAAGTTAATGACATTTTTACGCGTCAATTGGTGCCATATATTCGGGGGCGTGTTGGCTTCGGCGGAGGCGGGGACCTGGGCTTGCCCGCTCATTGGGCAGAGGCGGACGCGTCCGAGGGAAACGCGCGGTTGGAGAAGTGTGTCCTGGGAACAAAAACGCCCGTGTTGGAGAAGCGTGTCTGGACGCGCGGTTGGCGGAAATGGAGCATGTTGGCAGCAGGCGACGGCTCATTGGCCAGCTGTCGCGTTGCAGCGCCGCCTTGACAGTCCCGCGACAAGAGAGAAGGTCGAGGGGGGTAGCTATGAAGGAGATTAAAATGGGAAGACCGTTACGCCCTGTGACACGGCAACTACCGGTCAATTTGTTTGACGTGCCGAACTGTTCGCCGCTGATGGCCCTCGGAACTGAGGTTCTGACTGAAACGGGCATGGGCCGGCCTGGACCAGTCCATGGGTCTAGAACATTACGTAAACATGCTTCTCTATTACGTCTCAGACCCGTCTTTCCATGCTTCCCTCCTTCTAATCAGTATTTGTTCGGGCCTCTTCTACTACGGACTCTCAGCTCAGCTCACGTTTTACGTAAATAAAATATACCTGATTGACAGATCCCAACAAGTTTCCGGCCAAGAGGTGGGCAGAAGAAACATAAATGATGGCATGCTCGGATCGACTCCTCTCTTGTTTTTCCCTTCATTCGTGAGAGCTGCCCGGTGCATCCATCATTTCATTGTTTGTTGGTGGTGTATATTTGGTGGCCAACGTGATGTGCACTGCCACACTCTTTTTCTTCTTGCTTCTTACTTCGATCCCCGCTATCGATCCCTCGAGTTTCGCCTCGCACTGATGCTCGCACTACCCCCGGAACTGGTGGACATCATCTTCTCATTTCTGGATGCCGAGCATCTCCAGGTTCTGCTTCGAGTTTCGCATTCCTCGCTCTCCTTCCCTTGCTTTCAAGATACGGTGGCTCCATTGCAGATGTTGAATCTGGGATCATCCGACTTCCCGGGGAGGCGTGCTTCCTCATCCCACGGATCTATCATATTCATCCCATCCAGAAGCTCACCGTCTTCCCTGGGAGCCTCTCCCACCGTTCTCTCGCATCTGCGTTGAACACCATACCGTCAATCCCGGATGTCATCATACACCCCTTTACCGGACATTTGAAGGCGCGTGAGGCAGCCGATTTGATAGCACCTCTTTCCTGCTCCACAAACCTGGTCATTTTGGTCAGAGCATATTGGGATGGGGAAATGCTGTTGCAGACATCGCCTCCACACCATCATCCAGATCTCTCGCTCACAGGCCTCATTGAGCGACGCCAACTCACCGTCTCCAACATTGTCCTTTCCGCTCTTTACACATATATTCTCCCCGAAGTCCTCGCTGTGTTTCTCTGCTTCGTGTGCGTGTTTAATTTGGTCATCTTCGTAGTCTGGTTGTACCCTCGCTGGGCGGGCCCGCGGGATTTTCCGGTTCGGATCGCAGAAGACCTCTGCTTACCGGCAGAAGCCCCCCTACGCATCCAGGCCCGGCATGGTCCCAGCAGCCAGGTCACCCTCTTAACAGCTGGCGCTTACCGCCGCGATCACCTTTGTATCGAGGATTACCAGCACAGGCTGCTGAGCCCTGCGCATCGCACCTCTCTCCTCGAAGTGTTAAACTTGGAAGACGAGCTGGAGACGTGCGTCGTGGAGGCGGACTGCCCTTGCAATCTGTACCCACTTCTGTCCTTCCTGCACCGCCATCCATCACTCCGTAAAGTTACCCTGAAACCCGGCGCGCTCGTGGCAGCTTCGCTCACGCCCTCTGCATCGCCAATGATCTCCACTACCAGTGGAACCGTCACCGAGCTCATCTCTCCCGCGGAATACCTTCCACACATCTTGCCAACCCTATCTGGTCTGGAAAAGCTCCAAATCAGTTTCACAGCCGATGTACCGCGCGACACATACGCGCGCATGGTTGCAGCGATGAATCCCGGCCTTCCCCTCCATACTCTGGAACTTCATTTTGAACCCGATGTCCCCCGTCAGGCTCTTCCATGGCGCGTGCAGCCCGACCCGCACGCGGGGGCGCATCTATATAGCGTTGAATCTGTTGTCTTGTCCGACTTCGATTTCAGCATGACAGACGTGGAGAGGCTGCCGTTCTGGCTCGCGGGCTTCCCGTCCCTGGTTAAAGTGAAGATTGGCATGCGGTGGCTGCTTGTAGCTGGGTTGTCTCCGGCGGCGCTTACGCAGTGCATCATGCGAGCCATATCGCACGCGCGTGTAGAGGCGACGGCCGCGGCCGCAAAGCGGCAGGCCCGATCTGTCGCCTTACGCGCGAAATCCAGGTGGCGGTGACGGTGCAACTACTACCGCAGTTCAGAGGTTTGTTTAATGTTCATGACTCGTGAGTGTTCGACTGGAAGGTATTTACCGCCATACTTATTATGCAGTGTCTTCTCTGGATCTAGGCATTCAGCATTCATTCACTGCGGCTCATCGACAATTTCTTGGTCTCCTCCAACTCATCTGTTTCTTGTCATGGCATTTCCACGCCGAAGTACTCTCTCCGAAACTGGTGAATGCCTCCCTCTCAGACTTCTTGCACCAATGTATTCTCTCCCCATCGTTTTGCTTGCTATGCTGACTCCCGTAAACTTTCTTGCTGCGCCTTCGCAATTTCTTGACATGCATTTGCAGTTTGAGTACTATCTTGAATGCCACTTTGTACTCACTGTATCACTGCATTACTACTTGTAGATTTGTATGTTGATTCGCAAAACAGCCGGTGAGGGCGAATTCCCAGTAGCCTACCAACATTGAGTGGCCGACAGAATTTGAGGCCTGCCAGAATGCTGAGTTCAATCTATACCACAGCCGTACTGGGAGGAGGCATCGCGACAGGGAACAAGGAAGAGGATAAAACCACCCTGCATCACCGTTCGAAAAAAATTAGAGCTACGTACGTATACGGCACTTACTGGGCTATGGGTGGAGGAGCGAAACGCGGCACCAGAGGTATACATCGAGCTGTGCACTAGAGGGGGAGCGCCTATAATTCAACTACCGCTGTCCATTAACGCCCCGAGCCAAAGAAGAATGAAAGAAAGAAAAATCCAGATCGAGAATGGCCCAGCCCCGAGTCGAACGGGATCACCTGCATCAAGCGGTGGGTGGTGTCTGGGATAGAAAGCAGGTTCATGCCGCATGCTACTGGGCCTTTCTATGCCTTGTCGCTCGTTTGATTACATGCGGTACAATACAATTTCGCGACGATAATCCCGAAAGAAGTTGGAGGCAGAGTTGAACCTGTTCAAATCCATTGAGCAGTGCACTGATCCTGGGGAAGCAAGCCAAAATGGCCACGCAATCCCGCAACCAGGATCAGGAGACCATGGTATTCGACCTGAAGAACAGCCCAGCCCCGGGTCGGACGGTAGTCCCCTACATCAAGTGGCAGAGGAGTTTTCACACAGAAAGTAGGTGGGTGGCGCATTTTTTCGGGACAATCTAAAGCAGGTGCATATGCCGTATGCTGATGGGCCTTGAATGCCTTGTCAGCAGGTCAATGACGTGCAGTACAATTTTCGCGACCATGAATCCGAGAACAGCGCGAAAGGAGGGTTGAACCTGTTCAAATCCACAGGGCAAGGGATTGTTGTGCTAACAGTTCACATCGCGCTTGAATTTTGGTCGGTGGCCCTGAGGTTAAACCATATTACATTCGGAACGGACGCAGCTGTTCAAAGTTCTAAGGAATGTAAGGTTTCGAAAGTCGTGGGTGAGTGCAAGAGCCACATAGAAAACAAACCCATGTTCTGCCAGTTCTGCGCCCGGAGCTCGCCCCACTCGTAAACGATTAGAATAGAACGGCGGAGAAAAAATTGGAGGAACTTGCCAACATGCCCCAGCCGAGTCGAACGGGGTCCCCTAGCGTTAACCTTCCATCTTTCTTACAACAGCTAGAGCAGGCATTCCGCATGCTACTGGGCCTTTCTACCTCCTCTGGCTAGTTGAATTAGGTGCGGTAAATTTTGAGATGGCTCAACGCCGGCAAAGTGGGACGAACGGATTCAGATTGTATGGTCATTCGTGAACAGACGACTCGGAGATTTACGTTTCCCCGTCGTCTACATGGAAGCGTGGGCGAACGTGTAAAGCAAAAAAGTGGCCAGCCCTCCTTTGGAACGGCCTAGCCCCGAGTCGAACGGAGGTCCCCTGCATCAGTTTTTGGGAGCGCTGAATATAAGCAGGTGCATGCCGTATGCTACTAGGCCTTTCTGGAGTCATGACCGCTCATGTCCTGAACTGCCGTCTAAACAAATATGGATAGTCTAAAGCGCAGAACGAAACCACACACCTTTGAAAGAACTCCGGTAAGAAAAGATTGAACTGGAAAAGCCTCGATGTGTACCCGTGATTTCCTCGGACGGTCGGAGCAGAAAAATGGGGGAGATGAATGCTGCGCTCACCTCCACCCATCCTCCCCTACTGAAGCTAAGCACACCACAACGCGCCCTGAGGTTCGTTAGTCCTGATGCGGAGCCCGAGCCCGAGCCAACGGATACGGACGAGGAGCGGTGCCGCGCCGAATGCGAGTGTGAGGAAGAGGTGCTAGACCCCGCACTCGACTCCGACAACGCGCCATATCTAGATCTATCCGGTGTCGGCGGCGCATTATTTGTAGGAAAGGGCGTCTTGCGCGGACGCGCCTCGGGCGACGGCGCAGGCGTCGGCAGGAACGGGTTCGGCGCGCGTCTGTGGGAGGCGCTCGCACCGGGAATGGGGGCAGCGGGGACCGGTGCTGATAAGGCGAAAGTAAGATTGTAAAGAATACAAAATAGAATAGAATAGAGTGGGTAAGCATCGTATCGCATGGCCGACGGACGAGGAACGAGGAACGACGACTTACCTCGGACAAACGCCGGCCTGCGGTCGATGGCGCTGCTCGCCTGGACGTGCAAAACGAGTTGTAGGACCGCGAAAAAAGCGCCGCCGCCGAGTCTCGGCGCGGGGAAGAGGGGTAGGATCTATGATACCAAGAATTAGATGCTCAACGAGCGGGAAACACCAAGGAATGAAGAGAAAGCACACCTCATCGATAGTCCCCGACCCCAGCCCCGCATAGCGCCCGCAAGGCCGCGCGCGCGCCTCGCGCACGCTGACGCTTATCCGCTCCCAATCGATTCCGGTGTCGTGCACGGTGCGGGTCGACGTCCGCGAGGTCGGCGAGACTGGCGGTAAAGAGCGTGTACTCGAAGTCGCTCAGCGCGGATGGGTGGAGGGAGAGTCTGCGCGCGGACATGGTGGGCAAAGGAGAGACGCAAAAAAAGCTGTTGCGGAGCGCGGATAAGCAGATCAACGTTCAGCGGCGCCGGGACACGTGCAGCACACGTGCTGCTTCGGCTGATGCCGAGGTTGCAATGCTGGTGAGTGTGTGAGATCGTGCGCGGCGAGGGTGAGAGAAAGGTCTTCAAGAACCGTTTCGCCTGCCACGTGGAGCTCGCATTTTTTCACGTCGCTGACAACGAATGCAGTCGGGGTCGACAGTCGGTTCATAGCAAGTTCGTGCACGAAAATTCGAATGCAGCATGATGCTTGCTTTGCCATATTGCACGCCGAATGCCGTGATCCAACCGAGGAAAAGGAAAAACGCGAATCGGGGGCAAAATTTGTTTGGACTACTCATATGCCTCAGCCCCGAGTCGAACGGGGGTCCTCTGCATTACACGAGTCAACGGAAAGCAGGTGCATGCCGCATGCTACTGGGCATTATATACCTTGTCGCTATCCTAACGACGTGCGGTACAATTTGCGATGATCACTCCCAGGGAAGTCAGAACAGAGTGGAATTACGTGAACCAATTCATACCCTTGAACTGCTTGTTGGGTGCATAAACCTGGCCAGAAAGGCCCGAGCTTTACATCGGACGTGCGGACCCGAGAGCAACGCCGATGATTCAACTGCCGCTGTATACTATTGGCAACACCGCGAACCAAAGAAAAAAAGATGCGAGCCTCGGATGGCCCAGCCCCGAATAGAAGGAGGGTCCTCCGTGTTAGTTGGTCGATATAAGTCGACTGAGAGCAGATGCATGCCGCATGCTACTGGGACCTACTTATCTTTACTACGAGATTTATCAGATGTATAAGTCCCAGTTCGATTCAACGGTCGAGTTGAACTGTACTTATACGCATAACTTTGTCAAGCCCCAGAGAAGCTGAAAGTTTATGCACCGTGAAAGCAGCGCCGATGATTCAGCCACCACTGTATATCAACGCCCCGATCCAAAAAGAAAGGAATGCGACGCCCGAAGGGCCCTCGAACGAGGGTTCTCTGAGTTACAGTAGATCCTAGTCAACGGAAAGCAGATGCATGCCTCATGCTACTGGGCCTTTTCATGCCTCCTGGCTAGTTTAATGACGTGCGGTACAATTTTGAGATGGCTCAACCCCAATGAGGTGGGACGAACGGATTCAGTTTGCATGGTTAGAGAAATACTTTCCCCGTTGTCTAAGTGCCTGGTAAGGTCCAATCCAATCGGAAAAGACTTTGAAAAAAAAGAAAGGATGCTTGGTATTCTTCATATACCCCAGCCTCGAGTCGAACGGGGTTCCCTGCGTTGAGCTTTCAGGATGCATTTCCTCGCAACAGAAAGCAGGTGCATGCCGCGTGCTGCTGGGACTTTTGTGTACCCCTTGAACCTGATCATGGCTCGGCAGTCTCATCGAGCTTAAAGCGGGCTCGAATGTGACATTGCGCAAGCAGCCAAAGCTGCATATTTGGTCGGAGGTGCACCGGTGTGCATATCAACAAATTCAGGCCGCTTCGAAACCACCGAAACTCATTGACATCTCGACCCTTATTTGGTCCGCAGCGATGGCGGCGCTACCTGCTCCGGTTGCCACTCTGGCTGGGCGTGAATATTCTCTACATGGCAGAATTTGAATGCATGAGCCCTCAACGCATGGGTTGCAAATTCAACTTACAATTTGTAAACGGGCTCGAACTGGTGCCTCCGCCTCAGGAAAACAACATCGAGCGAGTACATATGTTGCGGGTAGGTCGAGTCCACATTTCTCCAGTGTCAAATAACTAAACTGTCGAATATTCAAGTTAAGAAGTTCGCTCCTCTCTGGGGCGGGAGGCGGTGCGGAATGTTTGGAGGCCAACGTGATGTACACTGCCACACTTTTTTTCTTCCTTGCTTCTTACTTCGACCACCATCTCGTTTCCTCGCTATCGATACCTCGAGTCAACCCAAAATCCTACTTGATCGCCTCTCACTAATGCCCACACCACCCCCCGAACTGGTGGACATCATCTTCTCATTTCTGGATGCGGAGCATCTCCAGGTTCTGCTTGGAGTTTCGCGTTCACTCCAAAGCCTAGCTCTCTTGCTTTTACTATCCAGATACGGTGTCTCCCGCGCTGATGTGGACTCTGGCGAAGTCTGCCTTCCTGGAGAGGCGTGCTTCCTCATTCCCCGAATCCATAATATCCACCCTATCCAGAGGCTCCTTGTCCTCCCTGGCAGCCTCCCCCACCGCTGTCTCGCGTCCGCGCTCTCCGAGATACCTCCGATCGCAGATCTCATTATCCTTCCCTCCACTCTTTGGTTGAACGCGCGCGAGGTAGCCGCCTTGATAGCGCCTCTTGCTTCCTCTACGGACCCTGTGTTTTGGGTCAGAACATTCAGGTCAGGATGGGTACAGTTGCGGGTCTCGCGTCCCACCCATTATGAAGATGTCCCATGGACGGTCATCGTCCGACGCCGCCACCTCAAGTTCTCCAACGTTGTCTTTTTCGCAATCTACGCGTACATTGTCCCTGAAATCTTCATTGCGTGGCTCCTCGCGGTGTGCGTGGGTAATTTGATTCTCCTCGGAATATGCCTGCGCCGTCGCTCGTGGGATCTCCGTACTCGTATCGCGGAAGACCTGGGCACAACGCTGGACGGCGCGCTACGCATCCAGGTCCTATCCGTCCCCGGCGGCGGCCGGATCGCCCTCGTAACATCTGGACTCCATGCTCGCAAATCCTTGGATATCCCTGAATTCCATTATGCGCCGCTGAAACCTGCTCAGCGCGCGTCTCTCCTTGGGGTTCTTGACTTCAAAGACGAGTTGGAGGAGGTGGAGCTGAAGGCCAACTGCGCTTGCAGTCTGGACCCGTTACTTGCCTTTCTGCAGCGTCATCCATCCCTCCACAAAATCACCTTGCAGCCGGGCGCACTCGTGACTGCCTCGCCCACACCGTCTGCATCTCCCGCAGACAGGCTTATCGCGACCGTTAGCAGCATCACCGAACTCTGCACTATCGCGGAATACCTTCCGCACATCGTGCCCGCCCTGCCTCGTCTCGAAGTACTCCGAATTACTTTCAGAGCCGATGTAACCCACGACGTATACGCCCGCGCGGTTGCAGAGATTAATTCCAGCCTTCCCCTCCACACTCTGGAACTTCGTTTTGAACCCAACTTTCCCCGTCAGGCACTTCCATGGCGCATGGAGCTCAACCCGAATGCGGGGGCGCACCTACATAGCGTTGAATCCGTCGTCTTATCCGACTTCGATTTCAGCATCACGGACGTCGAAAGGCTGCCGTTCTGGTTTGCAAACTTCCCGTCCCTGGTGAGGGTGAAGATCGGGATGCGCTGGCTGCTTGTAGCCGGCGCGACTCCGGCGGCGCTTACGCGGTGCATCATACAGGCCATAGCACATGCGCGCGTGGAGGCGACGGCCGCGGCTGCAGAGAAGGAGGCCCAGTCCCTGGCCTTGATCGCGAAATACCTACACCAGTGACAGTGCAACCACCACAGCAGTTCCATTCCTTGTGAGTGTTCGACGGGAAGGTATTTATCCCCATACTTATCACGTTGTCTCGGTCCAGGCCATTTAACATTCATTGCGGCTCATCGACGATTTTCTTGGTCTCCTCCCAACTTGTTTGTTTCTTGTCGCGCCATTTCCTGAAGTGCCCTCTCCGAAACATTTGGATGCCTCCCTCTCACAGTTCTTGCACCGATGCATTCTCTCCCCATCGTTTTGCTTGGTATGCTGAATCCCGTAAAATTTCTTGCTGCGCCTTCGCAATTTCTTGACCTGTACTTGTTCGCAGTTTGAGTACCATCTTGAATACCACTTTGTACTTACTGTACTTATCGCTGCATGGCTACTTGTAGATCTGTATTTTGATTCGTAAAGAAGCCGGTGAGGGTGAAATCCCAGCAGTCTACCAATACGAGGGGTCGAGGCTGACGAGTCTGAGACCGGC